TTTGCATGGGATCTGCATGAACTATTTGCATATTTGGCTTATCTATGCAGTTGGCTGATATGATGCCTTTTTTCCAGCAGAATAGGGAACTACATGGTGCACTCTCTGAAAATACCTATTTTACTGTACTGCTAAATTGCAGAGAAAATGCATATAGATTTCACCATTTCACAAGTGTGGTTCTGAATATTCTGAGTGGGATTTTATCTTTTCACATCAATGTGTACTGGCAATGCCTTGATAAATACTTAAAAGCCTTATACTTTTTTGAAATGGTTGTCCTACTTCCATCTGCTATGAAATTCCAGAACACCAATGTATTTGGTTCATCAGGCGTCCACTTTAGGGTTCTTTGCAGAAAAAATGTCAACACAGTGTGATGATGCTTTACTATGTGAAGGGTATGTTGAGGGTAATGTGCAGCATTGTTTTTTCTTGATAAATAACATTAGGCATGTAGGCCAAAAGGTTTAATTTTGATCCTGTCTGACTTTCACTTATTTCGCCTGCTTGGTGGCCTTCATGGCTACCCTTTCATGGATCTGCCTCCATAACATGTCGGCCACACGTGATTTAATTAATGGGGCTCAGATTATTAGATTAAAAGTCTTTAAATATGTAATCTAATCCACAGTTATAGTAAAAGGAGAAAAACTTCAATTATATTTTATTTAATCTTTGTATGTGTGAAATGTAAAACCATTCAATTACATTCAAGTTTGTTTTTAAGAAGAAAATTGCAAGAAAGTTTTCTTAAGGTGCTCTTCAGAAGGGAACAACCTTTAAACCAGCAGCTCTTTGCAAAATGCTTTGCTCCTTCATGGCTACAAATCTATTTTTAACAAGGTTTGTCTGAATGGGGCATCCAAGAAACGGCTCAACAATCCATTAACAAAGAGGTGACCGACAACAGAAGCAACAATCAATTGTGGTGACTGATTCTTCAAAACACAATATCAACCTTTAAATGCCACTGTCTCCACACCAACAAACTTCTCATTGGCTTTTGGTTCCTCCGACCGTCCCTCTGCTTGAACTCATTAAAAGCTTATTTCTAAGTGACGAAAAGTCATACAGTCGGTATTTCCATCCTTTTACTTGTATATTTACATGATATTGTATTAACACATTTTTTACTGTGTGTCACACAGAGAGCTAAATCCAACTCCACAATTAACTATTTGACATATTCAATAAAGGGAAAAACAGATTATAGAAAAATCACATCTGATCCCTGTGGACATCTTTTTAAGATTACTTTCAGGTATTTTGGGGTTTTAATGGCTCTGGTAAATTCAATATCTTTAAAAAATAAATTAGTAAGTCAATTAGCTTTATTTACATCATGCCGTTTTAAAATAATGAAAAACATTGTTATATTATGAAATGCAAAGAAATTTTACCTTGAGAAAAATAGATAAACTAGTAAAAGTCTCTGTGTGATGACCTGAGAATATTTTGAATAGCTGGATTAATCTGAAGTGGATGTATTCTGTTCTGGTATGAAGTGACATCTGACCTATTGCACTTAATCAGTCAAAACACAAAAACTTTCTCTGCTTGTATTTCAAGGGTGGTTAAGGACTGTTGTTGACTAGAATTCTGATCTAAAAAACTGGGATTCTGGCAGCTTTTGGATCATTTCTAAACGGTATCATTACTCTAGTGAAGTCTCACTCTTTTTTGTCAGAAAGAGTCTAATTAGAACAGCTTATTGGTGAGCTGTGTGTTGTGTGAACAGTGGGAACATTTAAAAGAAACAGCTTTTCAAACACAAGTCTATGTTTTCCCCATTAGACAAGCAACTAATTTTAAGCCTGCTGCTGTAGCCACTGCCCCAAAGGATTCCAGCATTAGCAGCTTCTGTGACTTTATATCCATCTTTCAAACACCAGTGGTCACTAAATTCTTAGAAAAACTGGTGTTGTATCATATTAAGTATCTTCTTGCAGACTCTAAAGAATAAGACCAACAGCTCCTCCAGGTGTCTGAGAATCACATCTGATTATTGAGGATGCAAAGAAAGAAAAGCTGGAAGAAGATGCTGCTGATGACCTTCCAATGCACAACACATACCACTTATATGTGGAACACTGCCTGTACAGTGGCCGAAAAGAAGAGACCACAGAGCGTGATAAGATAAGCTGAAAAGAATATAGGCTGTCTTTACCCTGTCTGGATGAAACTGTGAGATCTAAGAGAATCATCACAGACCACTATCTGTTCAGCCCTCTGCTCTCTAGAAAGAGGTGTATGAACAGTAGGAACCAAAAGACAATCGAGAAACTGGGGGACTGCTTCTATCTATGTGCAATAAGTACACTAATCTTAACTGTAACATGGGTGCAAAATCATTTTTACAGATTTTTTTTATGTTTTGTTAAAGGTATAGTGGAGGATGTTCTTTTTCCGGGTGGATCATTCAAATAAGTGGTCCTCCTAATTGTCAATCATTTTGGAGATATGATTACATAAGGCAGTCCTATATCCTTCACTCCATTTGCACTTACTGGTGGTGAGTCTGTCATAGTGGAAAAACTGCAAATCTTTCTTTGGAAAGTAAGCTTGTATGAGCGATGCAAACAGCAAATTATAAGCAGAGTTTGCACGAGGAGAAATGGGCTTGTGCATATACCTTTAAGTTTCCAATAACAATAACATTTGGATTTGGAGCTAAAGCATAACTTCAACAAATCATCATCTCACAACGTCTCAAGCAAACTGAATAACATTAAAAGATTCATGTTTGTTGTCACTTATTTCAGAAAAGTGAAATTTAGATTGATTTGAGTCATCAGAGAAAGTAAAATATTTCACGCTTATGTTTGTTGTTCTTTGCATGATTATGGCTTACATATACTGAAAACCAATATTTGGTTTCTCAGAAAACAACATTTATAGCTAGACTCTGATCTTGCTCCTGCTGATGCCGCAACAGACTGAATAATTGTTAGGCTAATGTTAGCATCTTAACATTCTATTTTGATAGAAATTGTTGGTAAAAAGTCTTGCAACATATGTGCAGTTGCAAGAATATTAAGTTTTGTTTCTGCTGCTATATTGTGTTTACATGAGCGCAACAGGCTGAAGTTTGCTATGTCTCTTTTAATATGAATTGTTTAGTAAAGGGTCTAAAAGCTTAAAACTCTAGAAGGAAAACAAAATAAGATGCAGGAACTATTACACAGTTTTGCAAGCCGTGCAAAATAAACTGGAATTTATTAAAACTTGTCTGCGCAAAATGCTGGAAGTGTGTCTAACATAATCATAGAGTAGAACAAGAACAAGTATAGGGAGTTAAGCTTATTCAGTGACTGACTACACATATCTTTATGAAATGTATCTGTTCTGTCATGCTGGAGCCGATTTTAAGTATAACCATGCAGTGGGAAAGTTTGAGAAGAATAATTATTGACCTATTTATTATAGATACCATCAGACATTTTTGTATTAAAAGCAACTACAAAAAAAACTCAGTTTTTGGTGGGTGAGCAAAACTCCTGCCTGTTCTTCTTGTTAAATGTGAAAGTAGAAAAGCTCACCCCTTTGTTTAAATGGATGCATTTCTATTAACCCTAACCCATTTTAATTTACTCAATAAGGACAGAGCACATCTATAAACAAAGCAGTATGTGCTGATTAATCACTACAAAAGCTGTATTTTATAAATACCCTTACCCAGGTAATGAAAACATAACCATGTAGATATTTATATGACAATTCACACAAAAGCAAACAATACAAAGTCTAAGAAATAAACTGCTGTCTATTTCTTATATGCTTCCAATATTCTTTTTTTTTTATTATTTGCAACAAAATTATATTGTTTTATTATTTATAACCACTTAATCTATATAGCCTGGTGGTCCACAGTGCCATATAATCACTTAATATTAGGAAACTTGCCTTATGTGAATCCTGTTTGACTGCAATTTTTAAATTCCTCATCTGTTTTAAAAAACAATGGGAAGGTCTCAGAAGCTTTGGCTGATCCGGCTCTGAAAGAGGATCGTTTTTTGGCGCTTTTAATGGAAAACATATTTGGAGTATCAAAAATTCACCAGCTTGTGGCATTTTGATCATTCCCTCTGGGTGAAGTCGGGTATCGTTCCATCACAGCCCAGTCCATCACGATAACACACAAACTCTGACATTAAAAAAAAGGATGGCTTTAACTGAAACAAAAGATTAAATGCAAACATTAAAAAAACGACTTTATTTCCTTCAAGAAATGAAGCACAAGGTGAAGCTGGGACTCTTTGACCATATATGCCTAAATATTTCTCCAAAGATCCGCCAAGAGTCCCACAGAACCAGTCTTTAAAAGGGAAATTGGTATAAAACCTTCCAGACCTCCATCTGGTCACCTTAGCGTTCAAACACTAAGTGAGAAACGGTTGTTGCTTGATAATTTATTTCTTATAGAGCACTACTTCTACAACCTTTTTCTGACAGTGTTAAGCATAAACCTGTAAAAGTACTTTACTAAACGAGTTACATTAAGTGGAACTTCAGTGCAGGGTGCTCTATCCTATTTTATGGCTTCATACCCGTCAATATCCACCGTGTTAATATAATGATTTATTCCAGCTTTAAGTCACTCAATGAGACACTTTGAGGTCATATCTACCATCAGGGAAAAAGAATTGTTAAGGGATTAAAACACAGCACCATTAGTCAAAAATCATGAGGCAAACCTGCCCTCAGTGTTGAAATACACATTATCATGTTCTTGCCTTGTATAATAGGCTAATGAAACATATTCTTCAAAATAAAGTTAATGAGTCAGTAGGTGCGCAGAAAAAAATAAAAAATAAAATCAGAAAAAAAATCTGTGAACTGCATGATGACACAAAGCGCTTGCGTCATGTATTTCAGGGTAAATGCTAGTTATAGTCTAAGCTCTATTCTTGTGCTACTTCCTACATCTTTGGTTTTCTGTTTAAACTAATTATTATTTCAAAAGTGTGTTTTTTGCTACTGCGGGAGTTTAATTTTACCTTCCATGACATACACCAGAGACCCAACGTCGCCCTCCTTAATGATGCAGCTATCCTTCCCATACTCCACAGGGTACATGCAATCCACAATCTCCTGGATCTGCGACAGCTCCAAGTTCTTCATGAAGTCGTTGTCCAAGATTGCTTCTTTGATCAAATCCTTGGACCTGAAAGCAAAGCAAAAAAGAGGGTCTGAATTAAGTCTTGAACATTTCTATATATTCCCACTAAGTTAATATTTTTTGGTTGTACGTTTCACTGATTTTAAAGCTGAGGTGCGTCTCTAACAGATTTATACAACTTGAAAAAACATGATATTGATGATAAATCCTGCTTTAAATGTTATCCGCCAGGAGTCTTCTTCATTTCTTGATTTTTTTTTATGTACTTTGTGTTTCCAAATGTTTTTTTGCAAACCTCTGTGGTCTTCCTCAAACATCTGCATTTATGGAGGAGTTTAGTTAAACAAAAGTGATGATCAGAGGGTTGTTTTTTTATGTATGCATACCTGAAAAAGTAAGAGCTATATAAATACATATTCCACTGGGTTTTAGATTTTTGATGGGGAATTATTTTTAAAACCTTTTATCCTTTTCTTTCAAATGATGCTCTCTTTGTGTTGGTTCCTCACAAAAAAAAAATCTCGAAGGAGAAATTGAATTTTTTATAGTAACATAACAAAATAGGAAGGAAAAAAAACTCTTTATCATATGTCCATTAATAAAAGATCTAATTAGCACAATTTCATGCAAAAAAATAAAAATTGCTTCAATATTCCTAAGGACATTGACCTGCTCAACGTGTAGATCCCTTTCATTTTGTAATGACTATCTAAATTCAAACAGCATGACTTTTTTTCAAAAGCAAATCCTCATTAATAAGAAGGCAAGATAAAAACTTTTTTTGTGCTGTTCAATTTTCAAGATATAAAAAGGTTTAATCTAAGCCTTGTGGAAGTAGATTTATGGATATTCAGGATGCATGTCTGAAAGCCAAATTAGCACTCAGACTGCAGAGGCATTAAGGCTATTCCATCGGTTTTATCCAATCAATACACAAGACTGGAAGAAAATGAACTTTAAAACCAACATCACAGCAGTGTGAGCGGTCAGACGGAAAGCCCAAAAGAAGAAGTAGGGTAAATGAATGGCAGCAACATAAAGAAATGGAAAATTATCATTGAAATCAGCGAGTACACATCAAACGCCACCGATTTTCCTGAGGGGGAGATATATCTTCATAAAGATTTTCCCTTCTGACAGAAGGTGAATGCAGGCCAGGTGCAATGAATTATAAAACCTCAAAGGAAGTGCTAGTCTGATCCTCTACAATTGAAAGAGCTGAAGAGAGATTGGAGCGATGAGGGGGTGACCGGGGATCCCTCATTCATTCAAGTATGTCTTCACCAGCTTCTGAGCTGCTCAGCTGGGCGACACACTGGTGCTTCTGACAGCATGTGGGCTAAATGAATGACGCTAATAACCAGCGTCAGTGATACTCCAAAAGAAGAGACTACTACCACAAAGACAAGAAGCCTTTCCACCCTAATAACCTGAATAAATACCTCTTTTGTGGTGTGTTTGATTTAATAAAAATGTAGACAACAGCTTTTTCTTTTTTCTTTTTCAGCTTGATGGCATTTTTCGGTTTACTGTAGAGGCTGGTCACCTCGATCAGTTTGAAATAAAAGGGTAAACAACCTGAACGTTTAGAAAGCAGCACTCACTGGAATACCAGCGAGCAGCAGAAACCACACAGCTACAAAAACAGAACGTCAAGCTACCATATCAGCAGTGCCCAGATTTATTTTCAGTGCTGTACTGAGCTCAGTCTGTGTTTTTAAAACAAACTCCTCTGCACATTCATGTGTTTATTATCCTGTGCTTTATAGGCGCAGCCTTACTTCTTGTCATGTATGAACTTTTAAGGACAAAAGAACCTGCTTTTTGCAGAGAATATAACCTTTGAAATCGCCAGACTTTTTCCTATTTGACCAAGGGGCTAAATTCCAAAAATGACGTTAACTAACAGTCTTCCTCCTTAGTAAGTTAGGATCTTAAAAACATGTTTATATATATCTGTTTTACTGCCATCACTTCATCTCCCACTAAAAAGTTGTGAAAAATCGAAACTCTCTTAAAATGTATGACCAAACAAAATGCCAGTTTTATCTTAGATTTTTTTTCACTTTGCTGCAGTATATTTATTCTGCCAAAACCCAGATTGCTGGTTGAGGCTCATTCGTTGTAGCAAGAGATAGTTGTCAGCCAGAGAGAATAAAATCTTTATGTATTGATTCTTTCAACACAACAGGGTTCCTCAAGACGTTTTTCCCTTTATCTTTTATATTCTAAAAGTTCTTCAGGTTTATGAAAAAAATCATATTGTTTCAATCCAGTGTTATGAGATTTCGTTACTTGCCTTTTGATAAGGAAAATGCACAAATCTGGCAATGATTTAATTCAACTGTATATCAAATTTTAAGGACTTTATGTAGAGTACCGGTAATGTTCTTTTCCCGTTTAACAGTATGTGATTCATATCCTTCTATATACCAGGTGTGTTTTTTGAAAAAAAAAAAAAAAAAAAAAAAAACAGGAAATATTTTATGGTAGATGTCTAATAATACCAGATTCACCTTTAAAACAAAGGCAAAAAGGTTAAAGTACCAAAAAGGAAAAAATACCATAACTCTCATGCATTTTAAATAATGTGCATAGAATATATCACTGTTCATAGAAAAACACTTTACAGATCTCTTAGCGTACTGTTTATGTCTACATTCAAATAGTTTATACGAATAGCTTATTTATAGTTTTTAAAGCCATTCATGACTATAACTGTAGCTGACTAAAATCACAAAGAGGGGTAAAATAAATGGTTAAATCAATCATAAAAATATTCATTGACTAATTAGGTGCACCAAATTACTGTTAAATTAATTATGTAGACTCTAAAAAAGGCTATTGGTGAAAGATCAACCTTCTCATGCAGCAATGAAGCCAATACTTTAAAAATTATTCGATTTATTTTGCAGTTGGGAGAAAAAACCTTCTGTCTGTAGCCAGAGCTCCTCCAGCTGCCTGTCTAAGCACTGAATTCATTTTTTTCTTACCAGTTTTATACATTTACAATGCATTTAAAATGTGCATTAATTTGTTTCTAAGTTTAAAAACAGTGTGTTAATTCAAAATTAGTATCTCTGTTATGATTTTCTTTTGAAAAATCACTAGATTAATAGATTTCTAGAATAACCAACCTTTAGCACTAGTTCCTAAGCAGATTTGATACAATTTCCAGACTAGTACATGATAAGTCAATTACTTTTTAATTTCCTCAGACGGAGGCATCATGTGTTGTTTTCAGAATCCTTTGTTCTATTTCATGCTGTCAGATCACCTTAAATCACAGCATTTTCTGATTTTACATATCCAGAAGTAACCAAACAGTTTAATTGGATTGAAAAATGTAATGAACCACATTAGATTAATTATTTAACAGGGGTTGCAGTCATTTTCAAACAGAACCAGTATTTTTTTAACTGCATTTTGTGTTTATTTGTATTAACTTTTTGCATTTAAACATAACAAAATGAATTCAAATAGTTAGTAAATCACATCTTTTTTTTATTTTCCTTCTTTTATATTTGAAAGGGACTAGATAGAAGGATACTTTTCTGCTATGGCAAAGTCAGCAAATGAGTAGTATAAGTTTTGCAAAATGCCATTTTCCACAACCCTCAAAAACACCAATAATTCATCTTTATATTCATAAAAAAATACATTTTGTGTATTCTAAATTGATTTATGTTTCTACTTTACATTCATCTGCTAAACTATGCCATAACTGTATTGCTGAGTTTAAAAGATTAATTTCCCCTGCTAAATTGTTTCCCTCTTCTCTCTCTAAAAACTATTTTTTATTGAAATCATCAACAATAGGTTTGAAAAGCTGAACTGTGACAAAAATAAAATAAAAAATCTCACTTTTACTACTATAGCTGGCTGATCACAGAACACTCATTAGATATGTGAAGTCTGCCTTTGAAAATCTGATCATGCAGCTGCAAGATTTAATATGAAAGGACTGAAGTGTTGCAGCTGTTTTATATTCTCACTCCTTAATCTTTGTTAAAACCTTTATCCTTTATTTGTCAGAGAGGTAAGATTGCTACAATTTTAATCTTGAAACTTCCTATTAAATTTTCAGGAGTAAACTTTAATAAAAAAGTGTTTCTGGACTCTGATAACCCTGAGATAGTGATGATAAAAATAGTTTTAATTTCATGCTGTTGTAGAGTCTTGATTATGTGAACTAAATTACCCAGAACCAGTTGGAAAAAAAAAAAAAAAGCAACCTCAATTGATCTGAAATGAGTCTTTTTGACCCTGGTCCGTAACATTTCAAGCTGAGACCTCCAGCCTTGCAGTCCTGATTGCAGCCATTGTTGAGCCAACCTTTTCCAACCAGACCCAATAAAAAAACATCTGCCTCCCTCTTCTATGTGAGAGTGACATATTTGCTTTCATCTACCAGTAAAGTTTAGCCTGAGCAAGTTCAGTCTTCCTTAAAAGGAGAAAATATGCTCTTTTAAGAGAAAAAAAAAGGAAAACATGTGAGAGAGCCTGACAGAAATGAGACAAGGAAAGAGCAATATATGGATAACGTATGTGCAAATAACACTCAATGATCCTCATAAAGAAGATGAAGTAGGTAAAAAAAAGGGAAGAAAAACAAAAACATTTAGCCAAACGCAACAGGCATTATCACTGCGCTACAAAAACATAATGAAACAGTAATGAGTCTGCTTCTGAGGAATACGAGCATGCTTGTCATTTCCGTTTATAAATCAATGCAAGCGAAGACAGAAATGAGACAAAAGTATTTAGAGCAAAAAATACCTCTGTATTTAGCAAACTGTGAAGCTATAATTTTCTTAAACCAAATGTTCCAGACAAAACTAAAATATAATTCAAAGACACAATTTCACGTCACCAAAAAGGTAGGCTACTAAAGAGAAGCTATATGCAAAAATGGTTCAACTAATTATTTAGTGGGGTTTCACATAAGCAAGTAAAAAGCCAAACTTTAAGAACAAAGAAACAGAAATTAAGCATAAAAAACATTAAAAAAAAAGATCCTTTTGACTGACAAACCTATTATTTGT